GTCTCCGTGCTCGCAGGCCGTTCCTGTCAGCGGCCATGTCCCACCCCGGTCTCTAAGGCATCTCTGGCTTCCCTCTATGAATTAACGTGCAGAAAAGCGCTTGCTCTGTATATTTTTCATCACTGGCGGCAGTCTCTGCGAGCTACCCCAGCAGAAAAGCGTTAATGATCTTAATATTTTCAAAGCAGCCCTCAGGGCAGGCCCCAGGCGCGGCGTCTGTGGGTACATCAGGGCCATATCCGAAACGAGCGGCTTGCGCTGTCTCACAGGTGCCATAGTCACCGACACCGCAGCACGCCATGTGACATAACAATTACACCGTGTAGCCGCCTGACGTAGGGGTGGTGTCAGTCCGTGAAAAATCGGGCTCGTGCAAACTGTCGGGTCAGGTTAACGGTGTGGCAGCTAATGGAAGGCACAGCTGAACGAAGCTTCTCCTCCTGCTGAAAGTCACCTCGCTTTAGGTAAGAGTGAGTGGTAGAGAAGGCTGCACGGCCAGACCTGTTTCTCTCCCCGGGAGAGGTGAGGGCGGTATTTGCTAGAAAAAAGTAGAAGGGATGGCTGAAAAAGTTCAGATATTTCACTACGGGGGGCCGACTGCTGCTCTTGTGTGCGCCAGCAGCCTTCGGTGAAATTCCCCAGATCTCTGGATTCGTACCAGGATCAAGATGAAGCGTGTTGGCTTCCGCTGCTGTGGGGGTTTGTTTTTCTGACCTTGTAGGTGTTGCTTTTTTAGGCTTCACGAGAGTCCAGAAGAAGAGCCGCACATCCTGCTGGAGTGCGACGGCGGCGTGCTGGACGCCATACAAAAACATATGAAACTGTACAAGATCCGGAGGAAAGTCAACATCGCCCCTTGCCTTGACCTGTCTTTGTGGGCTGTTGTCCCCGGGGAGCGGGCTGGAGACATTGCCAGTTCCCTCACTAAATGTGCAGACCAGGCTCTGATTTTAACTCCTGACCCCAGAACAGAAGTCATGGGCTGGAGACTGATTACAAAGAAAGGGGTAAATCTGTCGGAGATTATCCCTGGGAGTCGTATTGGAAACATTCAGGATTACCACAGGCACAGGTACAAACAAGGTAAAGCCAAGTCCTGTTTTGCACTCTGTGTCACTGGATTTTGGGAAATTCATTTATTTATGTATTGTCACAGTTCCATCTTATTATCAGACTCCATACGCTGATATAAGACAGAGGAATAAATTATAAAAGCCGCATTGGTATGTCTCAATGTGTTTAACTTGTTAATAAGTACAGGTATTATTTGCTACTTTGAGGATAAAAGCGATCTGGTAGTTATAATTCTGCCTGATGGCAGAATCAATATTTGGGTACAGTTTCCCAAGATTACTAAGATTATGGGGCGGTGGGTCAGGAACGCTAACAGCAAAAGAAAACCAGGATTATTCATTTTCTTAGAAGGAAACTTCTGCGGTTTGAGTCATTTTGATTATTTTGGGATTACGCACAGTCTGTGTGTTTTCCTTGTTGCTAAGGAAGGAAAAGGAAACGCCCTAACTTACTTTCCTAAAAACGCGTGGCTGGATTCGCAGAGTTAACTCGGAGGCCAAGGGGCGGACGTTTGATCTGAGAGGGAACTTGGTCCTGGGAGCCCCTGTGCCTGCGCAGAGCTCCCGTTGATTTCACTGTGTCCACACAGACAGTGGATTAAATTAATCGGCAGCCTGAAAGGCGATGGTGCTCTGCTTGTAAACACTGACCAGAGTCCGTCTGGTTCGGAAAAGCAAGCTGTTAATGGGCCAGGCTGTACTGGACTGTGGTGGTGTGCCGCCTCCCTGAAACACCGGCACTCGTCTTGCTCTGCCGCTGCAGAAAGCTGGGTGCAACGCTCCGCTTCAAAATAATACTATTTTTGTGTCACTGGTCACAAAAAGAACAACTGCTTATACAGACATTTGGTACTTGGGCTTTAACAGACAGTTGGCTGTTCTTTAGCTTTGAAGAAAATAACTCTTTTTGACATTAAAGTCTACTTGTGGGGTGTGGGTGAGAAGGATTTTGGCGTGATATGTACGTTGATGCCTTTGCATGGGAGTCTGCATCGTTCTGGGTGCCTTGAATTTCCACCGGCATGGTTGTGAAGTGCCGTAAGCTTCATGAAATTAGGTTCTAGTGCAGTTCTCCGTTTACCCTTAAGAGTAAACGTCATTTCTGGGTAATGATTTCACTCAGGCCCAAACCGGAGTGCTGGGAAGTTCATTACTTCACCCTGCTTCTTAGGGGTTCTCTTGGTTTTACGACTCACAGAGGAGGCATGTTCCAGAAATCTTAAATACTGAGGATCTTGCCGCATTTACCCGTTTTACTTTTTTCCTAGGAGTTCCCGAAGGTGTGAAAGATCTCCCTCCTGGAGTAGCCCTCCCGCTGGAATCAAACCTGGCCTACATGAACGGCATCAGCTTTACCAAAGGCTGTTACATTGGGCAGGAGCTGACAGCCAGGACCCACCACATGGGTGTCATTCGCAAACGTCTGCTGCCAGTCCACTTCTCAGCTCCTCTTCCCAAGGACAGCATTCCCGAGGGTGCCGAGATCTCAACTGAATCGGGAAAGTCGGCTGGCAAGTTCCGGGCTGGAGGAGGTGAACTTGGTATAGCTTTGCTGAGGTTAGCTAATATAAACGAACCACTCTGCCTAAATCTAGCGGGTGATAAAGTGAAGCTCACTGCAGGTATACCCGAGTGGTGGCCAAAAACTGCTAGTAAATAAATGAGGAACCACCACTCGCCCATTTGCCTTACTGAGAATATATTTTGTGTGACGGGTTTGGGAAGGCGACTCTGCCTTCAGCTGTTGTCTGTGGTCTTTGATGGGGGCGGAGGGGGGGCGTTACAGGATTCTTCAAATCGGGACTAAACAGCAGGAACCCAAACCAGCGGCGGGGTCGCTGAGGACGGGAGGGTGATCTGTTAAGCGTTGTGGAGAGACCCGTACAGGGTACGCAGGGAAGCGCACCTTTTCCTGAGGGTGCCCCGTGTTTATTTAGGGGGTGCCACGTGTCATTGGGTTGGACCCCTGCTGAATTTTCAGTCCACCACTCGCTCAGTCAGACTGTGCTCTGCGTAGGCTGCGGTGTGCGTCCAGGCTGAAGCGAGCGATGGCAGCAGGAGTTCTCCCGTTGTGTGCACTGAATGTTTCTGTTCAGAATAACCATTCTGTGGTATTACAATGTTTTTTGCTTTTAGTGGAGAGCATGCCGCTCCTACCTTGCGTAGCACGCTCGGGCTAAAGTGTTCTCTGCAAATTACTCCTTGCACTGAGCTTCTTCTTAAACCTGCTGATTGGGTGGGTGTTTTTTCCCGCCACTCTAACTGCTCATTGTGTTCAGGAAGAGGAATAGCTTGTACTCCACATTTCAGACCTTGATTTTTAAGTCATCCCGGTGGGAAAGCTCTCAAACATCCCGGTCCCGTCCCCTGCTTCAGCGCCGGCAGAGGGAGCACAGCCAGCAGCAGCCAGCTCCTCTGCCGCTCCTGACCTCAGTCATGCACGCTTCCTTCACTCAAACAACTGTTTCGGAGAGGAAAGTGATATTTTACAGAAATGAGGCGCACTGGTGCGTGCCCCGGGGTGACTATTGTATCGGTGTACTGGTGCTTGGCAGAATAATCTCTGCCTGGAAGCACGTGCCCTCCAGTTGCCAACAACAGTTGAGGGGTGGATTTTTTTGGCATCTCCATCTTCGCTCTTGTCATCTTGTAGAAAAAATCCTCCGCGCTTTCCTGAAGCCTTTGGCAGGGGTTACCTCAGTCCCTCCACAAAGCTGGTGAAGGGGCAGCGTGTCCCCATCGCCGACCTTTGCTCCGTCCCTCAGTGTTAAGCTGCAGCCCCTGGAGAAGGGGTTAATGCCACGCGTGCTCTTGGCTTAGCCTGCTGTTCCTGAGGGAGGATTTTCACCACGCCTCGTTTCTCTGGCTGCTTCACCACCACGCTTGTTCCAAGAGCTCTCTGCACCCCTCGTACAAAAACCTCTCTGGGGCGAGTCCCTGCTGCCGTCTCGAGCTGAGGTTTTCTCCATCCGCCGTCCCCTGTGGGTTTTCAGAGCAGCCCAGTACTTCAGGGTTTCTTTGCTGCTTTTTTCTGGCTCCCGCTGCTCTTCCGTCTTTGCACTTTTTCTTGCTTCTACAATCAATGTATTCCTCTTTGCCCGCCCCAAAGCCAACCAGCTCTGTGCCTCCTAACCCTGTCAACCTGCGGTAATTTATAGGAGCCCTATGTATTTTTGTACTAGAATAAATCCATTGTGCGCCCGCTCTTGGTGTGGCGCGTGTGCGGAAGGGCGTGATGAGAGAGATGAGCAGGTGACATCCCACGCAGACCAAAAAAAAAAAAGCTCTTGCATGCATATTTGTGACAAAAACCGTCCAAAGCGCATTCTGCTACTGGTTTCGGTGTCACTGTTACTGTGAAAGGAATGTATCTCTGAAAAATGCTCATGTTGGTTAAAACTCTCTATGCTTGCTGTAAAATGAGTTTGTGGAATATCTCATTAAAAGTTTATCGCATCAAATAATTTAAATGTGACTTGTCTGAAGGAGAAGAGACACTACCTTTTATTTACCTTGTGTGAAGATACACAACGGAATACTTTTTCGGGTTGCTGGCTGACAAGAAACGTGTCTTACACCGTTCGTCACCCCTTTGGCAGGTTTGAGATTGGTAACAAAGTCTTTCTGCTGGAAAAATAAATGAAACTGCAGTGCTTCACCCTTTCTGGATCCTCCGAACGCGACAAAGGCGAGGCTGTGCTGCCCGCGTTGATGCCGCTTTGCCAGAAGCAGCTTTTCCTCTGCCACCCATTGTGCAAAGCCTCCTCAGAATAGTTATATTGTACTGGTAAGCGCACAGCCTGAATAAACACTACGTTCCTTCTGTTTGGGGAAGCCCTGCATCTCTTTCGCTGGCACACACACGTTTCTTTTGTCTTCATAACGTATTTGAAAGGCTTTTCTGTTGCCAACAGCTGCGGCTTACAAATGTGGGTGCTTAGGCACAAAATACGCACGCAGGTTGGTTTTTCGGAGGCACTAGATCACTTCTGGAGGAAGGGTGTGGCAGAAATTGGAGAGGGCAGGCCCAATCCACGCTATCCTTCCTATTTTTATTCCCCCTCACAGCCTGCTCCATCGTTGATGGCTTTAGCCGGGTGAGCTTGGGCTGGAAGGCCGGGCTATCGGCTGTGTAGGTGCGGGGTTGATTTTGCAGGGGTGTTTGCCTCGCTGGCGATCCATGACAGAGCGAATCTCCTTCAGCCCGGGGGGGGGGAGGGGGGGACGGGGGGGGGGGGGGGGAGCACCCCCCCCGCCGGCCGAAGCCACCCCGGAGCCAGCCAAAAAGGGGCGAATAACCACCCGCACCCATCCGTCAGGCCAGCCAAAGGGCTGAAATGTTCTCAGCAGCACTTTCAATAACCGATTTCTGCAGGGAGGAGGAAATGCTGAGAAAGAAAACACCGGCGCCGGGCCCACACAGCCCCTCCGCCGCCCCGGGCGGGAAACGAGACGCTTTTACGGTGCAGTTCTGTCAGGTTTTCGTGCTTTCCTCAGCACGGGACGAACGCGGCGGCTGAGGGGAGCTGTCAGGTAACCCGCTCAGGTGCTTGCCTCCGACTAAATACATCTGGAGAATGGAGGCCCCGCTCCAAATGAAGGCCAGCCCCTTCCCGAGCCCCGTTTTCTGGGTGTTCCCCCTCGCTGCCTCAGCTCCCCCCTCGCCCTCCCCGCCATGGCGGGT